CCGGGGGCATTCTCGGGGAGAGGTTCCATGTCCTGACATCTCCAGTACTGGCCAGAGCCGTCGTGGCAGACTCTGGGCCCAGGCAACACAAATTTGGATTCAAAACTCCTTTTTTTTTTTTAACTTTTTTTTTTTAAATGATTCCAAACGCTTTTGTGTTGGTCAAAAAGGCATTTTCCACGTCGACCCAGTCAGCTGGAGAAGTGACCAGCTCTCTGGCGAATTGTGTCCTGGGGCTCAGAATTTACAAACAGCTGGAAAGGGCGTGAGATCCTGCAGGGCTGCTGCCAGCTAAGGGCCAGAGCCCGCTCCCCTAAAGCCATGGGTAGAACTCCTCTTGACCTGCCCAGCAACAGGCGCAGGCCCCGAGCAGTCAGTTCACCTCCCCGAGCCTCAGTTCCCCAACTTCAAACTGGAGCGAATGATACTGAGCTCCTGTGTAAACACGCTTTGAAAGCAAATGCTGAAAAGTGCCAGAGAAGAGCCGTGCCCGGCCATGTCTGTAACTTTGTGCCAGCCTTGGGGTCCGTGGGGGGCAATCCCTATGGCATTCCCAGGGGAAGAAGCACACACCTGCTAGCTCAACATTCCCAAACTGAGTAGCTGGTAACTCCCCTGGTGCAGGAGGAGGCAAGATCCCACATAAAAATACGCAGGCGAATTGAAAAGTAGCCCGTCTGCCAGAGGCGGGAGGGGTCATATGCTGCACTCCAGCCGTGCCAGCCGGGCGGGGGGAAATCCCTGGCTCTGCACCAAGGCCTGATGGCAGGAGTCTGAACTACCTGCTAGGAGAGCGTGCAGCCAGGTGTGACCACGTCGTCACATGGAGCTGTGCTGTCGCTGCACCAGTCGACTGGCCCATGTGGACACACTTACACCAGCGGAAGGCTTGGGTTTGGTGTGGCTTTTCCAAGTGACATAAACTAAACCAACAAAAAGGCCCCTTACCCCAGCCTGTGTCCCTGTGGGGGTGGTTAGCCTGTGTAACTGGAGTGGTTTAAAGGCACTGTGTAGTATATGCCCGTGTAAGGGGCCAGTGCAGGCCTCAGCCGAGCTGTGAGGCGCTAGCGGGGGGCCAGCTCCACGCTCCCCGTAGTGGGTCCGGTGCCTGAGCGCACAGCTCCAACTAAAGCCAGCGAGCACGGGGCTGCTCAGTGCTTCAGAAAACCAGGTCCCGCGTTTCCCCCCCCGCCCCAGTATTTAAGGTCAATGTTTCCCTGCAGCTAGGTAAACCCATTCCTCAGTTATCCCCTCTGCGCTCAGGCTCCCGGGCTGACTCTCCAGGGGATCTGGCACCTGAGCGCTCCTAGCGGCAGCGTGGCTGTGGAGCTGGGTTATTGGGGGCCAGCCCCCTGGCTCTTGCTAAGACATAGGGCAAGGTTGGAAGGGAGAGGTTTGCAGTCCATGGAGGGTTTAAGGCAGTGCCTGTGTTTGAAAACTCTCAAAGCTCTTCCTTACAGCCCAGATCTGCTCCCCCAGCTCCCAGTCCCAGCTGCTGTATCTAAGGCAGTGACTCAAACTTCTGTCCCGGTGACCCCTTTCCCAAAACAAGCCTCTGAGTGCGACCCCCCCCCTTATCAATTAAAAACACTTGTTATATATTTAACAGTATTATAAATGCTGGAGGCAAAGCAGGGTTTGGGGTGGAGGCTGACAGCTTGTAACTCCCAGTAATAACCTCATGACCCCGAGGGGCCCCTACCCCCAGTTTGAGAACCCTGCTCTAAGGGCTTGGTTACAAGGGACGTTAGTGAGCAGCAAGCTAGGGTATGTCTGCGAGAGATGGAGGGGGGCGGGGGTCAGCTCACTGTAGTGGGGAGGAGCTAGTGGCTGTCTGCTTGCTGCATCCCAACTTCTCGTATAGCCAAGTGCTAAGATGGCGTGTGCCAGCCCAGCCACCAGAGGGGGCGCTGGAGGCCATTTCCTTTCATGGAGCAAGAATAGAATTGTTTGCTACCCTGCAGTTACCTCTTTGCAAATCCACTGACGAGCGGGGGGGTGTGGGGGGGGAGGGTTGTGTGGACGAGGAGTGGGGGGCGCTGCAGGATCTTTAGTACTGGGACCAATGTGTGAGAGGCAAGAGCCTGGCTTAGGTTGCTTTCAATAGGCACCGGGAGATCAATGCCGATTCCAGGAGACTCCGGGCCAAACCTGGAGGGTTGGCAACCCTACTCACATCCCCAGGGAGCCTGCAGGGCTGGCAGCAAAGGGACCCTCACGTCTTACCTATAAACAGAGCCAGCTGGCTGCGGGGCCCTGGTGGCCATTAAGCACAGAGCCCATTTCTAGAGGCCCTGTCAGAGCAGGGCCGTCAATTGCTTTCAGCCC